CCCCCCCTCTCTTTAGGAATTGCGCCCTCCGTCTGGTTTCGTCTACGGAAGAGCTCCTTCGGCTTTCGCGACGTTCTTCCATTGATTGGCAGGTTTTCTAAGAAGTGCAACAGCAACCGACGCACCGATAGCAGAAGACAAAAAATGGCGGACGACACGAATGTGTCTTCAACACAAAAGATAGTTCGAATTACCCAAGAAGAACTAGAGCAGTCCACGAACCTTGGTAGTCCAGAGCATGTTCATCTAAACAATAAATCAAGGAAACATTCAAATAGCCGTGCAGAGGCAAGGAAAGAGAGCAGTGATTCGCCAAGTTCATCTGACGGACAATTGAAATCCAATGAAAATGGGAAATGGAGTGGCGAAAGCAAGGGTTTCCAGGTGCAAAACGAGGACAAGAATGATATGTTTAATGTCAAGGAAGCTAGTAATAGTGGTAGCGTGGAAAAATGCGATGAAAAGCAAGTCTTGGGAACCAAAAACGTGGACACGGCTAAAATGAGGAAACCGCGAGTTCGGGAAGGTTATGGATTGTATCAGGTGAAAAAGGGGAAGTTCTCGGATAAAATGAAGATATCAGAAGTTATGACCTCACCAAAAGAAAAAGTTAAGCCTGGAGAAAATCAGCTAAAAGACGGGCCAAAGAAGAAGAGTCCCACCAAGGGAAATGTAAGCAGCATTAGGAATGAAAATGCAGCAGAAAGTGAACAGAAATCTGGAAAGTCAGAGCGGTCGTCTTTGGATGGAGATAATGAAGCCATCAGTGGTTATAACAGAGAAGAGTCTGCTAAAAGTAGGAGCCTTTCTGCAAATATTCAGGTGAACAAAAAAGATTTTCACGAGGGAAACACTGTTACGAACACTTTACATTCTAAAGAGAAGAAATTTGTGAAAGAAGACTGGGATCTTTCTCACTCTTCTCATCAAGTTGCTAGCAAAGCTGAAGAGGAAAAGGAAGATTCAAAGAGACCTATCAGTGCAGATCAACCAAATATACCAGTTATGGAAACTAAAATGCCTAACAAAGATGAAAAGACCTCTGGGGAAGCAAACAGTAGGAATGATAGTTTAAAAAGAAGATTAACTGATTGTGAGAAAAAAGGGGAAGATGTAATTGACATACAAGAAGGTAAAAATGCAAAAGATGCATGTGCCCATTCCAAGGAGAGCAAAAACAACACGAGCTTAGGGCAGCAAAAAATTGCATCAAAAGAGCAAAAGCCACATACTGTAAAAGGCATTGGGAGAGGAAAAGTGTTGTTAAAGCAGACATCAGGCAAAGGGAAAGAGCGTTTGAAAGATAGAAAAAAGCTCCCATTTAGAAGAAAAAAGTCTGTTGAAAAACAAACAGAGGATTCTAAGTTTAATGAAGCTGAAAATGAAAGTAATGTTGATCCTAAAAATCCCAAAGATGGTGTGTTTGCAAATGACTCTGGAAATAGAACTAAAGAAAACACATTAAAGGAAGTGAAAGGAAAGGCAACTTTTTCAGATACGGATAAGGAAATTTGTGATCAAGAAAGTCTTGAAGCATCTTCAGATAATACAAACAAAAAAGCCGGTATCATAATTTTACCATCTCCAGGTCTTTTAGAGCAAGCTGAGACTCAGAGGGATGTCCAGAAAGCAGAAAAAGATAATGAACAAATTGAAACTTCAAAAGGCTTCCAAAAGCTTCAAAGACCTGCAGGATTTGACCCGAAGAAACCTAGAGGGAAAGCGAAGATTATAAATGAGAAACAAACGGAAATTATTTCTGAAAAAGAGAATCTGACGATTTCATCATCAGATGAGAAAGTATGGTCTCGCATAAAGTCTGAATGTAACAAGATGAAAGGAAAATTAGCAAAGAGCTTTCTTGAATTAGAGGACATTGAAGAAATTTTGGAACTGTCTACATTACTTCAAGACTTGTACAAAGAGCTTATTGTCAAGCACCAGGATTTTTCATTTGAAAATGATGTTGAGAGCTCTTTATGGAAGAATACTTTTCATAATGTCATCACAAAAATAAGAGAGTTATTAGATGAAAAACCAAATGGCCGTGACTTTAATGAAATTGTTCAGTTTTATTGGAATTTTCTTCAGGATGGGGATGATTTCTTGCAAGAGATGCTTTTGTCCCTGCAGGAGGAATGGAAATTTGATTTAGATGCTTTTGTGAAAAATCCTTTGAAAATGGTTGGTTGCAAAAAGCAAGTGAGTTTTATTATAAACAGTTTTTCAAATGATTAATCAAATGGCTCTTATACTTTTTGAATTTAAGATTGCAGAAGGTATATTTGTACTCTGGAGAGTGATGGATAAAAATTACTTTGGCAGGCTATGTTCTGCTATTTCATGTCAACTTCAAATTTTCTGTACCAATTTGGACATCAAATATGTAAAACCTGATAATTATGGCATAATTATTATGATATGATATAAGGAAGAAGTGCAGGATAGGCTGTCATCAGGGTTCTTTAAATCTTGCAATTAGTAGTACTATGAACAAGGTAATAGTCAGGAATACCATTTCAAAATAGGTTAAATTTTTAACTAATATTTTGGCCCTGAATTCAGGGTTTCAAAAAAAAATATTTGTTATTGTTTATTAAATATTTTACAGGTTAAATATGCCATCAGAAGTTGCCATTTGATCTTGTTAAATTTGGGTGACCTAGAGAGATATATCACAGATTTGCAACAAGATTTAAATTATTCAAAAGCCAATGAAAATTACCTGAAAGCACAGTTGCTGGCACCAAAGAATGGCAAGTCTTACAACCAACTAGCTGTTGTTGCTGTTAAGAGCAAGAAGAAACTTGATGCTGTTTACTATTACATAAGAAGTTTGGAGACAAGCAAGCCAATAGAATCAGCTAGAGAGCGACTCCTAGGAATATTTCATGAAATCAAGAAAAAGGTAGTTAATCCGTCCATCTGTTTTATATTGTTGAAAGGAATAAATACCCTAAGAACTTTTCTTGTAGTTTTTTGTTGTATTAGGTGAATGACACTGGGCAATAAAGGGGTGCCTAGAATGTAGTTTGCACCACAAGGAGAATCCATGCCAAAAATAGATTACATTTTAATTAGAAATTATGACATTTCAATCTTTGCATAAGTAAAATGCTTTTTCAAGTCTCCAAGCCCACAAGAACTCTGCTGTTGTGAACCATTATGATTTACAGTGGTGCAAAAGCTTCTGTGTATGTCAAGTTTACATTTTTTATTGAAATTCCACTGCATACAGAATCAGCCAAACTGCATTGAAGAGGATCTTTGATTTTGAAAATAGCAAAAAAAGTGTTGTAGGAGCGTGCTGAATAAAGTATCTTGAAATTATAAGGTTTGTTGCAAAATCATATGCCTTACAAATCCAGGTCTCAAGTCTAGAGCTTTTTTCAAATGTTTGTCAACCCAGAACATTGCCCAACAAATCAGCCAAGTGACTGCCTGCTACATAGCTGTCAGGTTTATCGTTTTACCTAATTAGTTATGCTCTTTCTATTGTACTTTCTATTATGCTGCCACTTGATTTGTAGCTCTCAATGCCATTTGACTTCTGATTTTTGTTTAATGCTACTACAGGCTGATTTCACGAAGAAACAGTGCCTGGAAAAGTCTGTAATGGCTGAGGATTTTGAATGGCAGAGAATGGAAGAAAATAAAGCATTTGATAACGATTTTTCAAAGTATGCCTAACTTTAATGTAGATATTTTCTATAGTAACCATATTTTTGTACCTTTGTGGTATGTATCCTGATTTTAATCCCAGATCAAATCTTGTCTGACATCTATAGGTAATGGAGAAAGATACCATAGATTCTTAAAATTTGTGCAAAGAATGAATTAGTTTCCAGCAATAAGAGTAAATTTGATCAAGTTTTTTTCTGGTAAATTAGCTAGGGAGCTACCAATAAAGTGTGTTCTTTAAATTTGGAACATGCCACTCCCAGATGATATAACATGGAAGGTGCAAGTAACTTAGAGTGTAAAAATGAACTGTTTTAATAACACCTGGTCTCAGACTGACCTGAAAATTAACTACAATTTAACAACAGCATAAGGTTTGACAGCAGGTTTGAAAAAAGGGCTACTGGATAACGGAAAAGGCTTTAGTGAAGAGGCTGAATGTAGTCATGACAACAGAACATAACAGAAAGATAGGTGATGATGATGATGATGATGATGATGATGATGATGATGATGATGATGATGATGATGATGATGATGATGATGATGATGATGATGATGATGATGATGATGATGATGATGATGACGACAACTGATGCAAAGTTGTATCAATGGTAAAAATTATATTGGAAGTAAAATGTACTGTACTTTTACAGGCAATTTTAAGTACTTGAAGCTAGAAAAATTTCTATGCGAAAATGATTCATTGACAAAAAAGTCTTACTAGTTTGTTTTGTTCTAGGCATGATACATGGGTCTTCATTCGTGGTGGACAGTGCTACAAGTTAAAGCTTGGCTTTAATGGGAAGATCAAGGAAATTAAGGAAGGAGGTGATATGTCGGAAGAAAATGGAACTCAAGAAAAAGTCTCTTTAAGAGAGGTATCTTTACTTCAATTTCATAAATTTCTTGCTTTGGTTTTAAGAAAATTCGGTTTCAGAAAATTATTATTTTAAAAGTTCCAATGAAAATATTTGTAAGATTGACAAATTTTTGAAACAGTTTTTGACAAATTTTCCTTAGTTAAGCCAGCTCCAGTTCTGCTCTATTAAAGTGATCCTAATGCCATATTCTCTGTAGAAAACGTGCAGCATTTCAAGCGCTCAATCTCATAAGCCCCCGATTTTATTTTGCAAAGTTAGGATTAAGTGCCCAGGGCGGCTATCAGAACTTTGCTTAAAAGGACTATGAAAAGCCGTGGAAGCCATATAGAAGACGAAAACAGGGCCCGCTTCTGACCAAAAAACGCATATAAAGTACAGTCAAGATTCCAATTAACTGACGATGAATCGGATGAAGACGCTGACATATTTGAACGCTGGATGCTAGACGATTGAGAGGTAGAAAGTTTTGCGGAAAGAATTTTTCGCCAATCATGAATGTCGCGCGAAAAACTTTCTTTTCAACAGAGGCTGAAAAAACAACCAACAAAGTAATGAAGAGAATCAACATTCATATTCTTAAAAACAATCTTTGGTCTTCAAAGTTCTCAAGAGTTTGCCAATTTCGTATTTCCAAAAGTTTCGCGGATCAAATTTTGGCGATTTTAGGCCAATAACACGAAAAACGTAAAACATTTTTCCCGCGAATATTTCTTCCCTTAAAGTATGATTGTAAATTTTATTATAACCAATTTGTTGTCATTTTTTAGTATTTTTATTAAAATTTTCTCATGACCAAAATTTTTAAGGTGGCAGCTAAGCATTTAAGCTTATTGTAACCAACATCTTTTGCAATATATATAAAGAGATAATAAGTACCATGACGAAGAAAAAAGACATTATGTTTGACATAATTAATTACGGGCAAATATAATTTTTTTGTCGTGGTACTTATTATTAATTTTATCATCAAGCTGCGGTTTCAAAAGTCTCAATCTAATAAATAAATACTTATTTAAGAATTTATGAAAAAAGCATTTATATTCTAAAAAAATAATTGCATTGTTATCTGTGTTATCAAAATGTCTTTAACAGCCATACCCCTGGTATGAAAATACAGGCAACAGTTAGAAGTATATCAATTCGATTGTTTTATTTTGCTTGAATTCAGATCAAATGCTTTGTTCTTTTATGTTTTCAAATGCTCACTGTTTGAACTCCTCAGAAATTTTTCGAACTTAGTAGTGTCCCAGTTATTCAACCTTATTACGATAGACACCCACTCAAATGCTCAATTTTATTTTGTATTGGCCAAGACCCTTTTTAGAGAAAGTACCATAGCTTTAATTAGATTTCTTTTCGATTTATTTCTTCTGTAGCGGGGGTTTTTTGTATATTTACCTATGAACTTTCGTTTTGAGTATTAGCAAAAAATTTCAATTGTGTTTCGTTATTTCATGCCAGGATTTTTTTTTATTTTCAGGCCAGTAAGCAGTTCTTGGTCTATTACCTCTACCTGCACGGAATATTGTATACCACAATAGGGTAAGTGGCATCAGAGCTTTCAACTAGTTTCATGAATTGGCTATAATTAGCATTTCGACGTGTCTCTACTTTTTCTACAAAAAAGCATAAAGTTTATGTTGATTTCTAGAGGTTTTGCATTTTTTTATTTGTTTCTGACAAGCTATGCTTCCGAGCAGTGTGCTGGCCCTTCGTCTCGATGTGACCACACCTCGTGATTCTTCCAACCGAAATTACAGACAGAAATGAAAGTTTGGTTATGTCGTGGATTTGCACCCCTTTTCACGGATCTTTAGTCCACAACCAGCTGCGCCGATAGGGGGTTCACCCTGGCAGCACCCTGGGGCCCGGTTTCTAAGAGAAGCCCTGATTCTTTTATTTTCAACAATAATGTATCATTCCAAGCAAAGCATTCTCACATTAAGGCCCAATTGGGCCCGAAATTAAATATTAAAGTGTTTAAAAGCAATTCTGTGTTGTTTATGTTTCAAACTATTTTCGACAATCTTGAACGCGGGCGGGTCCGTGAAAAGAACAAGGAACGATGGCTTAATCATGACGTCATCGGTGGCTTTAACAATGACCCAGAGGCGACTGAATGACTTGGCTCTGCTTCGGTAGGCCTATAGCCCAACTCGCTGTCGATGACATGGTAACATTGACCAAGAGGCGACTGAATGACTTGGCTCTGCTTCGGTAGGCCTATAGCCCAACTCCCTGTCGATGACATGGTAACATTGACTTACTCATGTCTATGGCATATGTTTCTGAGTGGCCACTTTTTGTCTTTCATTTTTTATGGCATTTCTTTTCCGAGTAAGAAAATCAAGTACCACTTAGGTTTTAAGTCCCCTAATTATCGTCTTATTTGCAGGTTTGAACATGTTATGACAGTTTACGAAGATGCAATGCAGTCTTTCAAGCTTGTGTTAAACGCAAACAAAGCATCTTGCATCAAAAAGGAAAATCTGATTAAATATATGGCCATAAACATCTTCTCGATCAATAATCTTCTAAAGAAGTTAGGTATGTCTTTTTCATAGGTTCCTATGAATTCTAAATCAAATGTAAGTTCACTGAAACCGAGCCCCACATGAAGAGGGAGGGGCGTCTAAATATCATTTAATTATGAAATTACACGATCTCTTCTTTTCAGAATACTTCAAGTTTTTTATTCTTTGTCTTTTTTTGTATAATGCAATAAAAATCAACAAGTACATATCACAAAATACTTTACATACACGAAATTACTCTACAACACTACTAAAGACGGTATCCTGGAAAGCAAAATACTATTTCTGCCCCTGGGCCATTAAACATAAGAAAAAAGAGAAAGGTTTTGTGAAACTTAAACATACATCTAACTACATACATGTGTACTAAATATTAAATTTTTTATCTCAATTGACCCTTCAAAATCGTGGAGCCCACTTTCTAACCAGGATTTTATTTGAAACCTTTCTGGGGTTTTTTGTTAATAAAAATACATATTACATAATTAAATTTTTTATTACCATATGCATAAGTATTGTTAATTGTCCCTTACAGGAATTAACAATATTTGTAAAACCACACTGTCTGCCTTGAATTTTGTACAGATCTCATGGTCCATGTATATATTTCCTACATGGCAAGGCTTAATACGCCCAGCTGATTACGATATTTGAAAAACGACAGAAAAATATGGAAACGTAACACGTGGTACTTAAAAGATTAAGCGATGAAAAGGTTTCCTTTATTTTTCATCGTAGTGTGTGCTCGATATGATGATGATAATATAATCTAACAAAAGCTAGGATAACCGGAGGAGTTGCATTCTGAAATACTTCACCCCTGAAACAAGTCGAAATGACAGCCTTTAGTCATTGGGCAGCCAATATGCAGAAGCCTTGATTTCGTAATGCTCTAGACCCAATTCTCTCTTAGCCTCTTCTACTAGGTGAGAGACTGGCGAGTGCCGATTGATCAAAACCCATCCTCCTTCTCACGTTACTTTCGATCCAAACCTGGATATAAATGTTCAGCCTACTTTCGGTCATTAGCCGACGTTTCTACTCTGAAGAATGTCAGGCGAAAAGAGCTTTAGTATGCTATTTGTTCGCTTTTCTGTGCTATCTTCATATCTTGCGGTACAAAGGTCTATTTAATGATATAATTATACATTTCTTATATATTCTCCACAGCAAACAATTAATGAAATTTCTGATTTCATTTCAAATGAATACAACGATTTCTTTTTCAGAAGACAAATCCGAAGTAATTGACGTTGCAATCATATTTGCATTGGATATGGTTGGAATAATTGCGCAACATTGTGTTACTTTGATGGAAGATTACGGTATGTGTTGCCAATATTCGCTCTCATATTGAACAGGTTTGAACAGATCGGTTCACTGAAATGCCTCTTGGCTTTTTTCCCACCTCTCGTTCGATTCCCCTTTTCTTAAAATGGTTAGTAATTTAATAAGCTTAACTCTAACGTTAATTTTTTGGCATGTATACAATTCTTGTACCTAAGATCATTTCAACGAGATATCATGGCTGGAAAGCCCAATACAGTGTTCTTTTGATATGCTTTTTCAGCAAGTTTTCCAAATCTGTTGCATTGTACTTTGTAAAATTTTTGTCCTTCGATTATGGATTTTGTATAAAAGCATCTCTAACTTTGTTTTTTTTTCAACTCTTTGTCATTGTAGTTTGGCTGCTGGGATCCAAACAATGAAATTTTAATTAAGCTAAACGAATACCGTAAATCCTCGAATTGGCCCCCGGGGGTATTTATTTTTGATATTTTTGGATGAGGGCTTATTCGAGGGGGGGGGATTATACAAGGGGGGGCTTATAAAATTATTGTAGACATTAAGAAGACATTATTAAAAGATCCCATTTATTCTAGTAGAAATTTCTTTATGAGCATTTAATTAGTTATTACCAGAAGTATGAATTTGTTGTGGTAATTCAATAGAACGCCATAGGCAACCTCAGATGGCAAAAATCATCAAATGGAGGGGTCAAAAACGATGGATTTTCACCTTATCTTCTAATGCAGTATAAAATAATTTTGTTTGCATCTCAAAAATGGTCCCTTTTCGATATTAACACCCCAAATTCACATTTTCATTTGAAGAAATAGAATCGAAACAAGTTTGTTTCCTTAAAAAACTCTCACTGTGTTTTAATCATGGTCTTATTTACGGTTTCCAGATACCGATGCTCTGGATCAATTATTACCAGCAGTGAATGCATGGATGAAATGGATGTGCGGATACCTTGATACCATCAAATGCTCTTCAGTTTGGTATGCATGTTATGATGTCATCAACAACCTTTTCACTATATTTGTTTTCCGTGTCTCGGCTATGCAACACAGTCGCTCTGTTGTTTATTTTGGCTTTGCATCCATTATGGCTTGCACGTTCCTTAGAGGCGTTGAGTAACAATTTCTGTATCTATTTTCAGGATGAAACACAAGCTAAAAATTAAAGTTTGAGCAGTTAAAGATATCATTCATGAAATTGTTTAAAAATGTTAGGGCACGTTTTAGTAAAGGATTGAAAAGACTCCGTCAACCAGTTAAAAACCTTTTCTCATTTGCGCATCATACGATCAAATGATCAAACTTCTGTCTCTGCCAAAACATTCTTCAAAAAATATTACAAAAACTATAAACATGTATATAATCATAAATATAATTTATGTAATTATATATAATCCATATAATTTGAAATTATAACTTACTGATTAAGATTTTTAATAAATACCAATTTTTAATCCACCTCCTTCGAGGTCTACTCAATTCTTCTGCTTTTTCTTATATCCCAAGAACAGTAAAAAAGTCTGCTGACAGAATTAAAAATCCTGAAGGAATGAGATTTTTGTCTAAAATCATTCATTCAATAATGTTCGTTATAATGCTATTATTCTTGATACTTTGATTATTTAATTCAGTTGTTCTGAATCATTCCCTGATTTCGAATTCATTTCTTTTAAAATTCATCTTTCTTAATTTCTACAGCCATATGAAGGACATTTGGGAGAACATTGTACGGTTCATAAATGCAATTCGAAGTTACGACATTTTGCCTGCCAAGGCATCAGAAGGTGATGCAATTTGTCTCTTGGTCTTTCATGCGCCTTGCCTGTTGAATGAAACAATCATTTTTGAAAAAACATATCTTTTAACTGAAGAGCTTGCATATAATATACGAATTTTCAGAGTTCTTCAACCTCAAAAAGCCACGAGTTGAGTTCAATGTCTTATCCCAGCCCTTTTTGTGTTCACATGAGCAAAAAATTGTGCAAGAACTAAAATTGCCAACAATTACTGAAATAATCAAATCTGAAACTTCCATAATCATTTATATATCAATAAATAGTTGACACCGTCACGTGACATAATGAGGACGAGAAACTCAGGGACAGACCTTTTTTGCATAAGATGAAAATCAATAATGGGCAGAGAACAATTACATTTTAAATGTGTTTTTTAAAATAAAATTGAAACGAAATGAAAATGAAAGCATTGGTGAGCTGAAATTGAAAGTAGGGAGTTCATTTCGGTTTCTTGTTAAAGCCCTTGTTTTGTTCAAATGGACAACAGCGAACTGAAACTAAAGCTTTTCTAATTCGCATCAGGTTTTTGAAAGCGGAATGAAGCAAACTGAAAAACGCAATGCTCCACGGGATAGCTTTCTTCCGGACAATATCCTTCAGCTTTTGAATCCTTGCTCAGCGGAAAAAATTAAAGGACCTGTTTTCTGCGCTCTTCTCTTTCTATACATAAACAATTTTGCCCTTTAATACCTTAACGTGACATTATTTGCAGTCCAAACATCAAATCGAGTTCCTTTAGGTGAACAGCAAGCTAAATAAAATAACTTAGCTGAACACATACCATTCTGAGTTTCAAAACATATTTAATATTTACATTTGAAGGAGTGCTGTTTATTTTTACTATTTTACTAATATTTACTGGAGATATTATCAGTATATGATTATCTTCCCGAAAGCATTAAAACTGAATATTGTGTTAACAGAAAAGAAGCAGATTTTCAGTTCTAATTGATATCCCACACCTGCTACAAGAGTTTTTTTATTTTCAGAAAGGGGTTACTAGAGTTTTTGCATTTGAGGTTTATAAAAGGGTCTCTACCACACTTTCAACGAACCCCATTGTCCCTTTTCAGCAGAATCAGTTAAGATTTTCAGTAGTCTACCAATGCTTTTATGGGTTTGAAGGACAGCACTTCTGATACCTCAATCGTTCCCTCCAGCCTCGAGCCCTCCAGTACATAACCCTTTTGCTATTGTTTTGCAACATTTTGCGCAAAAGCCCGACCCTTCCTCCTCTGGTTATTTGATAGCCCTACACCACTGGCTTTTAGTCCCACAAACCTCAACTGAATTCTTCGCCCCAGGAATAATAAGGCCACTAAGACATTGCTAAACTATTTATACAAGGGCTTGGAACTCTTGTTTAAGCGTTGTATTGTGTTTGCAGACGGTGAGCCTGTAGGCCTTTTCGAAGACAAATTCTTATCTGGGTTCCAGCCTCTTTTTGAAATGGACAAGCCCTCGATGAAAGCATTGCAAATAGATCGGGTAGGCTACATTAATGCTGTGCCATTTTTACCTACCTATATTATTTCTGAAGACAAAGTTGAGCTGTTAATGACACGCCTCGCTAGAGTAAACCTTTTTATGCGTTGCCAACAAGAAGTGACTGTCAATTCTAACTAAACAGGTGACGAGTGGCGAAAGCACTGTCAAACATCGTGTTCTTAGCATTTTGATATTTCACTGTTCTGCCAGTTTCTTAACCGAAAATGCGCGCATCACATCCTTTAGTCCGTTTCTTCAGTCAAATATTTTAATTTTCTACATTATTCAAAAGATTTTCGCGTATACATACAGTTTTTTGATGTCTTATGTCTGTATGCATTATGGCGTATACGATTTCTCTGCAAAATTTGATGGCTGGGAATTTCTATTATTGTTATGTTGAGAAGACGGCACATTTTTTGTAACAATGCTTTGATGTTTTTAAGTTTCCCCTAAAATTATTCTCACACTAAACTCTTTTATAAGATTTTAGTATTTGATATTGCCTCAAAGCTCATTGTTGATATTGATAGACTAAAACATCAGCCATATCTTAAAGCTGCACATCTTACCAGAATATAACTTAGAATAAAATATGAATATTTTGTTTTTTCGTGTGTCCGCTGACAATATGCTATTTTAGAAATATGGAACTTCTATATCAGGCTGAGTTTTGTATGTAAATATCTGAATTTGGTCGGGGTCTGCTACGGCTTTTGGTTTGAAGCTGCGCAGAAACCTGTCCAAATATAACCTTTTTTTGAGAGATTTTTAACTACTGTGACTGCAATATCTACAGCTTATTCTGAAAACGGATTGCAGCTTTTGACTCGTCTTCGTGTGGTTTGCAGCCAAAAACCTCTCTGTTATTTCTTCTGCAAAAACTGTACCAGTATTCCAGTAACCTTTACTTTGTCCTCTAGAACAAAGCTGAACGACTGCTCAGAATGGAGAGTTTGAAAGAGCTTGCGTTCATGATATCAGAGAGCGGCAAACTGCCGGTTGTCTACAATGAAGAGACCCGGTCGTTTGAAGTTGTTACGCCTTCTGTTGTTTTTGATTCCCCAACCAAAAACGGTACAACCTTATGCCTTGAAGAAAATGACACTGATTTACAGGTATCTACAATTCTTTCATCGATACACTCATTTAGGTTGCATCTTGTTTTGTTGCAGGATATTTTAATGCTTTTTGTAGTAGCTACAATTCAAGACCAAAATTACAGAGATTTTCCAAAAGGTTTTAGACTTTTTCGAATAAGGTAAAATGTTCTCACCCCAGACCCCCTATTACAATGTTTGAATTACGCTGTGATGCTGTGGCTAAAACTATAACATTGATTTATGGGGGGTGGGGGGGGGGGGTTTCGGTTATTTCTTTTACAAATATTTTCTTGCATTTTGAAAATTGAAATTTGTCTCATTAATCCTGTTCAAGATTGTAGTTCAAGATTTATGTTTATTTTCGATATTAGAATTTTCGCCTGTGTGCTTTTATTGAAAGCAGAACCATCTCCTGATCTAGGTCTATATTTTGCATAATCTATTTTTTATTTCCGTAGCAATAACAAAAAATTCGAGATTTTGTAAGATTCTACTTTTAATTTAACTTTATAAACATGTCTGTATAGATTACAGTGTTTATTTTCAATATTAGAATTTTCGCCTGTGTGCTTTTATTGAAAGCAGAACCATCTCCTGATCTAGGTCTATATTTTGCATAATCTATTTTTTATTTCCGTAGCAATAACAAAAAATTCGAGATTTTGTAAGATTCTACTTTTAATTTAACTTTATAAACATGTCTGTATAGATTACAGTGTTTATTTTCAATATTAGAATTTTCGCCTGTGTGCTTTTATTGAAAGCAGAACCATCTCCTGATCTAGGTCTATATTTTGCATAATCTATTTTTTATTTCCGTAGCAATAACAAAAAATTCGAGATTTTGTAAGATTCTACTTTTAATTTAACTTTATAAACATGTCTGTATAGATTACAGTGTTTATTTTCAATATTAGAATTTTCGCCTGTGTGCTTTTATTGAAAGCAGAACCATCTCCTGATCTAGGTCTATATTTTGCATAATCTATTTTTTATTTCCGTAGCAATAACAAAAAATTCGAGATTTTGTAAGATTCTACTTTTAATTTAACTTTATAAACATGTCTGTATAGATTACAGTGTTTATTTTCAATATTAGAATTTTCGCCTGTGTGCTTTTATTGAAAGCAGAACCATCTCCTGATCTAGGTCTATATTTTGCATAATCTATTTTTTATTTCCGTAGCAATAACAAAAAATTCGAGATTTTGTAAGATTCTACTTTTAATTTAACTTTATAAACATGTCTGTATAGATTACAGTGCTTTTTGCGCTGATAGATCACCTCCGTCTAAACATTTGATTTATAATTATTTGTTCTTATGCAGGGTGATGAAAGTGACATCATCATTGAAGATGTGGTAGAAAATATCGACGAGTAAGCAATTTTTTAATTTTTCTGGTTTTTCACTGAATTCTCCTTAAAACTGAAGAATCTAAGGGACCTGTAAACAATGTGAGCTTGGCAGCTGACTACTCTTCTCCTCAACAAAGATCATTCCAGTCCATACTTTGCTGCAATAGCTACATGCTGTTGCATCTTTGAATGATCACAAAAAAGCGAAAAGGAATCCAAGCTTTGTCATGTTGTGAATCTTTTCAGATTGCAGCAAGCAAAATTATGCTGTTTTTTTGTTTAATCTTTGAGAAAAATACAAAAATTTGAAATGAACTACCCCGCGAATAGGCCCTCCACCTAAACACTTTTTTTTTGCAAAAAAAACGCCAGGACCGTATTCAAGGATTTACGTTTTGTTTTTCCTTGTTTTGCTTTTGGTCCTTGTACGTTTTTGCCAAATTTCCAAGCTACTGTTGATTATGGTACTCCACGTCAACTTTTATCAATTCATGATTTGATTAGAATGTATATAAAATGCAAAAGACACAAATGTTGGTAGTTTTTATCGTAATAACTGTACTTTTTGTTCTAGTCGAGAGCTTCAGTATCTCAAAGAATTGAAGGTATGTTTATAGAGTAAGGGTTATCTTCGGTTTCTTGTACCGTCAAATAGTCTTTGCCTTCAAAGTTACGATAATGTTATCCGCAACTACACTTTCTGCTGACCGACCGCTAACAAAGAAACTCAGTGAGAGAAAGCAAGGTTAGGTGCACAAAAAGGCAATTCTTTATTTGATGTCACAAAAAGTGTGACCAGCTATTTGGGCCATCAACAAATTAATATTTTGATGTCTCACAGTTGCAGCCAATTACATTTCAAAAAAAGATTTTTCAAACTTTTTGTATTTTTTTAGAGATTTGAGGGCCAAATGTTTCACTTGAAATGATTATTAAGTAGAGTTGCCTATGGGTTTTCACACTTTCGTAACGTTTCGTGACGTGTCATGACGTGTCAAGACGTCTCCTGATGTGATTTGATGTGATTTGCGTAAAAAGCTCTAATTTGTCATTTAGATGTTAAGAGCTTTTTTGATTGTTAAATTGTACTTTAGTTAATTTAATTGATGATGATGATGATGATGATGATTATGATGATTATGATTATGATTATGATTATGATTATGATGATGCCCCTGATGCTAGCGCTTCCATCATACGAATGTTACCTTTGCAGGCCAAAAAGATGGAGTTAACAGCTAAATTGAGCGACCAAGTGAAGAAAAAACAAGAGAGAGCTGTAAGTATAATAACTTCCATCTATTATTGCAGTTAAAGTGCAAAAACTAGGTATGGAACAGGATGGTTCTATTGTTGCCACTCCGTGCTTCTTACAGCTCTGTCCATGCCTTATTGAGATATTAACAAAAGAACGTTTTAATCATAAGCACCACGACAAAGAAAAAAGACATGTTTGAAGCATTCGACAACTTCTGTTACATCATAACAATCGGATAAGTAGACGAATCCGGTATTAGACAATTCCTTGTTGTACCATCAAACAAGTCCATTATATTGAGTTAACTTAAACGTTTTGACTCTAATTAGAGTCATTTTCAGTTTGAGGAACATTTTCTCTCTGCACTGTGACACTGTCCCAGCCATTTTTGACACTGTTCTTTCCATCACGTTAATTGCCATCCCAATCTTCAAATCCCATTTTCATATGATCCATGTTTTCCCATGAAAAACTTATTTTGCACACCGGTGTCCTATTTTGCACCATTTTTAGAAGAAAAAGTGCGGACATTTACAGTTTAGGAAAGGCTTTGAAGCATCTCTCAAAATCATCATGTATCATCTTGTACTGATAAGCCGTCTTTTCTACAAATCACTTTTTTATGGATCGTTTGAAAGCTTCTGTAAATTTTAATGTCTCGACAGCTTTCACGCTCGTTGCCAACTGAACTCACATGCTCCTTGTATATCTCAAGTTTATTGAACCGTTGTCTTGCAGTTCTTAACATTATCCTATTCAATGTCCAATCTATAAAAGTACTTTGCAATGGACCGAACCTTAGCAAGGTTCTTTTTTTCGAGCCGTGAATTTAAGATAGAAAGTTCTTATCTTATTTTTCTATAAAGTCTTCTTACTTTATTCTGACTGAATGTTATTTTATACTTATCAGCAATATAACTATTTACAAAAGCTAATATAACTATACAAACTAATATAACTATATATATATTTACAAAATATAACTATTCAAAGAAGATTATGCCATAGTTATTTCTCTGTTTTTTTGTGAACTGCCAATCCGTTGGTTGTATAGTGCGCGAAGCTCGCTCTTGAACTCTGTTTTTATATCAACCTAATTGATTATATTTTTATCATGAATTCGTTTGTAGAGAAAAATCTAAGAGTTTTTCTCAAAAATAAAAGTAAATTGTATTTCTCTTATCCATTCAAATCCATTGCTTCTCTTCTACATTGCAAGATCGTGCTAACAAAGTTTGTAAGCTTTCAACTGGCTAATTTTGGTTTTTAGGCCATCGTAGAAAACAATGCATCTCAAGTTCATGTCATTTTTGAAAACCACCCCAAGCACATTGTTCCTGACACTAACTGTTTCATCGATAACCTCGCCGGGATTTTAAAGATTGTCGATTCGAGAGATTTCGATGTTGTTCTTCCTCTAGTTGGTATGTTCATTTGTTTTTATTTTTGTTATTATAAAATGTTTATTGATACGCAAATTCTAAACTCTAAAACCCTTTTTAGTCTACTTCTGGTCTTAAAAGGACCATTTTATGTCAATTTAGAGCTGACAGTACCAATTTTTCATATTTAGAGATATGCTTTCGGACGTTGTAGTCAAGATTAAACCGTTCTAAACAACATCACTTTAAAGGCAGTATGTTCCAATTCATTTCGCTGGCCATTCAAATTTCTCATTGGTTAGACTAGACAATAGACCTATTGTTACGTACCCAATCGGCTGATTCTCAATGTTTTCCTACAGAAATGCGTCGCAAAGCCTGTTGTTAACTCTGAACGATTGGCTGACTGGACATAGTGCCTTCAAACCCTATTCCTTGTAAACCCGTTTCAGTTGCAAACTCTCAAATTAAGCACGAGTTTTGTTTTCAAAACAAAACAAATTTCTTGCAAAGAATATCAGATATGGGAAATTTTACATGCAAAGATGCTGTACAGGGTTTAAGGGAGAAATAGTTTTCTTTGCCTATAAGATTTTCTAAGGGAGAAGTTTGAAATACTTTTTCTGCCGCTGCTCTTCGGTCCTTAGAATTAAAAACGTTCGGACAGTGACCGAAATTTAAACGCAAAACTTAAAGGTCGTCAACAGCTAACTCCCGTAAATAAAGAGATAGCTCAAAGGCGTTATTTTTTCTCTGCCGTTATTTTCGATCCGCAAGTTTACACCTTTTTGTTAAACTGGACAGCTGATACTTCACGAATAGCATCAGATTAATAGTTCTTCCATATATTCCAATATAATTTTTTAAGGATCAGTGGCTCAGTGGTTCGACTGTCGCGGACTACAGATCCGAAGATCTGGGGCTCGAGCCCCTGACAAGACCAAATTTTCACCGAGAATGAGGGGGTTGCCAGCTCACTGTGGGAATCAGGCGTAGGATCACGAGGTGTGGTCACATCGAGTGGAAAGATCAAGACACTGCTCGATAAGCATAGCTTCTCAGTGTCCTAAAACTAGCTTCAGATGCTAGGTAGAAGCAAAAACAAACAATATATTTTATCTTCTCGTGCAACCCTGAAATGTTTTGGTACAAATTGCTTTTTTGAGCTTTCATTTCCTTGTCACAAGGCATTTTCACGATCTTGGTTAATTTTCTTCACGTTTCAGTCGTCAATGAACTGGATGGTCTGAAGAAGGGCAGAGATGTGCCGAGCAAATGTCCAAATGAAGCCAATGCGATGTTGGTAAAGGAACGGGCGAGGTAAACAGGGCCTTAATACTTGCATATAGATTGAAGAAGACGAAAACTCATCAGGGGGGATTTTCAGCCACGAAAGGTGTTGTAATCACAACGGGGTACTTGCAGTTCCAAGACGGTACTTGCAGCTCCAAGAGGAGATGTAAATCCTACTAAAGACAATAATGACCGCAGTATCGAAAATAATTAACTCCTGGAAGGAAATACACGTACCGGAATGTGCTCTATAGACAAAGTATCGTCTATCTTAGAACCTAATTAGTAGAACACAGCCATTTCGGAGGCAGCTTTTAAATAAGGGTGGCCCTGAAATTTTCTGTTTGGGAAACCGTGAATCGGTTTGTCTCACGGAAACGCATATTCAATGTGAAAGAAACTTATTGCCCGGCAAAGGTAAACTTAGCAAGGCGGAAAATGACGAAGAACAGATATTGAAAAAGGCATTTACGAATAAGGAGACTAGAGAGAACTTTTCCTTGGCGATTTTGGTGATTAAATTCTGAAAAATGTTGTCTTTTTTCAAACTTGGGTGTGTATTTCTGAATTTGAAGGATTTCAGAAATTTTCGTTGTTGCTTTTTTCCAGTGGGGGGGGGAGGGGGGAGGGGTTGTTTCTAATAATCCTTCATCTTTCATGATTTATCCTCTGTGATGGCTTATAAATGAGGATCGCTTCCAATAAAAGAAAAAAGGGCTAAAGCAAAGATGTTTTTTGATGAAAAAACTATCCTTTTTAGATGTATAAACCATAAATCTTGTACGCAATCCGCGAGGCATAGGTTCTGTAATTTGCAGGAAAGGAATGACTGCATTCTGTTTGTCTCAAATTTTCCATGCTAGTGTTGCTATAATTTGTTTTTTCTCCAAAATTGCAGAATTGCAATGGAAATGTTGGAAAATCGCTTTAGCGAGGACAACGCAAGGCTAAAGGCATTAACGAGTGCCGGAACAGAGTTAGATTCGATTGCGTTTAGAAATGAAGAGTTTTTGCAAGACAAGGTGTGTATTAACCTAATTTCTAAATTTGATTTCTTCTGTGTCCAATGAAAATAAATCTTAGCCAATCGAATATGCACAAGCAAAATTCTTGTCACTTTGATGCAGCCTTTGAAAGCATTGTTTTAAGCAATGTTTGCAAAATCTAAATTGCTTTGCAGCAACACTGCATGATGCGATTGAGCTGTGGCGTATACCTCACAGCCCAGTGACAACCTGAGAGTGTCATAAAAGCGCTAAAACACAGAACATATCAGAATTATATATATACTTCAATTGTGTTAATCTGCAAGTCTAATTTCGCCTGCTTCAAACTACTTCTGACTTATGCGAAGGAATTCATACGTCAAAAGTAAGAACAATTTCCCTGAGACAAAGCCTTCAGTTGCATGATTTTACAAGTTGTTGCAAAGGGCTCACGAATAAAGAGTTCAAGATTTTCTGCAACTGAACCTTTTGCCACTTTAAGTTATTACAATGTTGAAAGAGAGGAAGTTTGTTCTCTGCATTTAAGGCATTTACTACCATCTAAAAATCATTTTTTTATGAACGCCTAAATTGACCTGGAAAAGGGGTTTTTTATATACATAAGATACATTTGTTTTATCCTCATGTTTTATCAATAAACAAATATTATTTTAAAAAGAGCTTATTTTGAAAAAAATCCTGCAGAGCTCTATTCATGAAAAATTTCCTGCGACCGCCCGGTCAAATGGTCGGGTGTGTTTTCATGCCCTGATAGTGCTGTTACGTGAACAATTAATAATGTTAAGAGCATATAATCAGTCGCATGGTTAGTCGTATGTTCGGTCGTACCGCAGCACGACAATCGTGGCTCGGCGTTACTGGTTACACCCGGTTCTAATCGCATGACTTGATGATTTTAGCCCAGGTTTTTCTGTCGATGCTTTTTGAAGAGAATTGGCGGTCACAAGCTCTTGTCGTCTAAAAATTTAAATTGGTTTGCATAAGAGCTGAGCAGTTTTAAATTGACATTAATTACTTGATTATCCAGTGAAAAATAGGCCTTTCATTACGATTGGTTGCCTGTTTATAGATGAGGTAATCGCCCCGTTGTCGTCCGTTTTATTACTATCATTTTTGTTTTCCAATCATGTTCTTTACTGATTTCTGACAAAATTGCTTTTTCAGGGGAAAAATGATGATATTATTCTCTCAAGCTGTCTCCATTACTGCGACGAATCTATGTCAAGATTCTCGCCAGGTTTGACTTTTAAAGTTTAATTGCTAATTCCGATATGCTAAATAATTTGTATAATGGCGACATGTTCCGGATTATTGGTAAAGCCTGATCGTCGTTCCACCTAGCAGTTTTGGAATCTATCTACATAAGCACGAAAAAACCGCTACTGTGTAGACAAAAGGAGTTCGTTTTCACCTTAGGACTCCAATCGTAACATTCTCAATAGGCAAGTGGCACTGATTGGTCAACCTCAACAGTCATGTGCTCGTGTTTCTGATTGGCCTATTTCGATCCACAACTGGGTATATATATTTCCTAGCGTAGAGTTTTCGATCTATGTTCTGACGTTTTAAACTCTGAAGAGTGTCAGACGAAAATCTTTAGTTTGCTAAATGTTTGCTTTTTCAAAGCAATTTTCAAATTTGTATTTGGTGCATAGAACGGGCCACAGAAAAATTCATTCCCGAAGAATTGATGAGACGTTGCCTTTTTGCCATGTCCTTTCTGTATTCACTCATTTACTCTGTTAGAAATAAAAAATTGAGCGAGCTGACTATACTAAGCTTTTTCTATCATTGAAGTATCTCTGATGATTCAGGTATTTCAGGCACTATTCTGTATCCAAGCACCAAGTATCTGTGATAGATGAATTAAATAAATATAGAATTCCAAACTGATTTTGCGCCTTCTGTTTATGAAAGCAGCGTTCGAAACTTAATGAATATTTTTTCAAATTTGAACCTGTTTTCCATAGGCGACAGCCCTGTACGGCTTCAAAGAAACGTGGTCCTGCTTACAGACGATAGAAACCTTCGCTTGAAGGCTCACAGTCGTCAGGTACCAACTCTCAGTTTGAATATCTTCCTGAGAATGGCTCATTTGGACTAAGTCTGACCGCGAACCTGAAGATTTGATCGCAAATGGCAGCTAGCTTTGTTGAGGCAACGTTTCCTGTCAACTGTTTATGAAGGAATTTCGGATCTCTTTAATAGACTCTGTGAGCCTCGACTTGAAAGAGCTCATGTTATTCCCATCTACCGTGGCCTCGCAATCGGTTCTGCGTCCTCGTGACTCTGTTGCTGTCAACATTCACAAGTCGTTGTTGATGTTGAAACCGATTATATTCAAAAGAAGTCAGGTTGCTGTTGTTGTTGAAATCAGTTATGTTAAAGAGAATGCTTCTAGAATTCCTTCATATATAGAAACAGTTCGAGCTGAGCAAGTTAAAGTTCCTCTCTGATTCCCTCGCATTTTGTTTGTTCACTTCACTGGGAGAAAAGATGGACGACGAAAGTTGATAAGTAGAGTTCGAATGACGCTTTGTAGAGACTTTCCCTTACTTAAAAGTACTCTTGTCTAATGCTTACAAATCTTATTTCATTGCTTTGTCCAAAATGCTGGCCCTAAACTATCAACCACCGTCATAGCAAAGTCTATGAAATTCTGCCAATTTTGATCGAAAATTCTATTTTTTAAGCCTTTTTGGGTCGCGCCTATTAAACAAATGAATTGCGGGAATGCACCTCATGGCTTGGTATCCCCTACCGATTCCCACCAGACCATTGACTGAAAAACCCTCTCCTCATGAGGATAACGAAATTTCACACATTGCCCTCTTGAGAATTTGCTTTTAAAAAGGACTTCGATCTGGAATCTTGTCGCAAAAGTCATGGTTTTGTTTGCAATGCACATAGAATAGGAACATTTGCCGCCATCGTCTCAAGGGTATTTCATATAAGACGGTGTTCCCAAATGAATGACAGCAAAGGGTGTTCTATAAGCTTTATTCAAACCCAAAGGCAATAGGTAATGCTCAGTTGAAGTAGGGAATATATACATGTATCTGTAATATATGTTTCTGCTAGAGTTTTATAGTTTGAACCAGGGTGATACATTGGCTCAACTTCGATTCGTAATATAAGAAATATGCCTAAATGTCAGTAAAGTCAATACTGGCTATCGATTGCTTAGCAACTCTCCAATTGTTATATTTTAGTGATTCCTTCAGTGGGCGTGGTTAGAATTGTTCGCTGCCCCACCCTGAACCTAGCTCTTTTATTTGTTACAAACCTGTTGCATTAAAGCTATACCAACCTTTCTCTTATGTATGGTTTTGTGGAAGATCCGACATAAAGAATAGAGATTCTTCTCGCCTTTTTGAATCTACTTCTCCATAAAGCTTCACAATAGCTCATAATTGCGATAAGGCCAGCCCCTGTACCCCTATTTTTGCGTTCGTAGAAAAACCTTCACATTGATTAATTTTTTTTGACCCGAGAACAAAAAAGGCTAGATTCATTTTGATAGTAGAATATACGAGAGCAAAAATGAGAAATTGCAATTCTCGCTTGTTTATACGCCATTTTGTAGGAGAATTCGCACCATATGACACATGGAGATTGTAGGTAGATGCGTATTCCTGTGGGGATGCTATCATTGTCATGTATTCTCATGGGGACTGTGGAGGCACTGGGGGTCGGTTGTTCCGGATTCGGAAAAAGTAGTAATCGATGCTAGTAGAAAAGCAGTAAAGTTGGTAACTCATCGGAGATAAGGCAGATCCACAATCCCGGACGAAATTGTTGCGACTTAATATTTGCAATGTTTTACTTTACATTGCCCCTGTGAATTTAAATCCCCCTTTTCACATATCTATTATTTGTGCTTCAAAAACCTGCATTCATCATTGAATCGGGGGAAAGGGAAACGTAATTTTTGAAAGGAAAGAGAAAACATCAACTTTTCTTAAAAGTCTCAGCTATTTTTTGTCCGGGACTGTAGAATGTTACGAGAACAACTAGTGTTTAAATATGTCAGACATTATCAAACATAATTAGTTGCAAAAAGTTTACTTTACGATGTAATTTATGTTGAAGTTGAAATAATTATTTTGAGTTTTGAGCTTACTCTAGGTTTTGTGTACCAAGCCATTATTTTGTGCAAATTATTCAGATTAATTGCACCTTTCATTATGATTCAATAGTGTTATGTGCTGTTGGTCACCGGAATCTTTTCGAGTATTTTCCCTCAGTTTTCTCTGCACTGGAACACATGCCTATGGCTATGGGCTTAGAAGCAATTTCGAATGCACACCTAACCTTTAATCGTTGTTGAAACCAAACTGATAAAGTTTCAACAGAACTGTAAATAGTTGCTCGTCAATTATATCACGTTTTTGTTGTTTATAACCATTTTGAGGGCAATTGATGGACCTTTTCTGCCCCTCATTTTTTCTGCTTTCACAAAGTTAGTTTCCCGTGTGATACCGCGACCTCATTTTGCATGCTTTTATGCAATTTTATTAATCCCAAAGGACAATTTTGTATTCCCATTGGTTTGGTTTTTGATTTCTCTTGTGTATTTATTGCATTACGAATGTTGCTCCGTCAATCAACCCACCTGACAAGGCTGCCCACTGACATGTACAAACTATGCACTGGTTTTTTCAATTTTCAAACAATAATAAACAAAACCTATTAAATCTCGCATAAGGAACACTTTGTCTTGATGCTAATCACTGCTCAAAATTTGGTTGGATTAGGCCCTAACTTCAGCTGATCGTCTAACGAGTTCTTCGACTTTATAGTTAAGCCGGGCTAGGCTTAGGACCACCTTCAATTACTTCGTAGAATTAAAGCCCCTGTCCCTTAGTAGCCAAAATATCACCTTGAAGAATAAGAAAGACTACATTTTCTGAAATGGTATTCATTGTTGTTAGTCATGGTGGTAAGTAACCAATATTTCACCTGCAAATGTTTATTTGTTTAGTTTCCTGGGAGTCCGCAATTGCCTTTATTTTTTGCTAGTTAAAGTTGGTAATGGCTATTCTAGGGGTAATGTGTTTGTGGTATTGGAATGTTGTATTCTGAATACCTTTTTCTTTGACAAACAATTTTCACACTAGAGTGATTTCAGTTTTCTTATATTTTTGCTTAGGGTACTGACGACTTTTAAAAGTTAACTCGAAATCCAAATTTCTCATTTCTTATAGCAAGTTTTGTATATGAAAAATGCATGCAACTGATTTCCCCTTTTTTCTACTTTGACTGATGTTCAGCTTGACAGGGCCGCTCCGTAACATACTAATTTGGGGGGGGGGGCAAGAGCAATTGTCCCTTCAGCCCCAATGCCCTTATTCTTCTTATTATTTCCACAATTATTATCGCCCGCCCCCATCTTATTTTCTTCGAAAAGGCTATGCAGCTAGATCCAATTTTTTTTAATATTTCAAAAAACCCAATCAAGGGACAAAACAATCTTTACTTATATTTGAACACCGTATTTCAGACAGAAAAGAGACCCTTTTCAACGCCAACTGCATGGTAGCAACGTTGCTTGATAGCATAAAGGAACGCTGCGGGCTAGCAAAATCAGGTAAGAATTTTTACATTGGGTTTTATGTTGCCGCGTCCGTAAAATGTTGTTTATACTTTGCTAGTTAACCCGGACTTGGTGAACCCGGTACGTATTTCGAAGTATAAAGAAACATACTTTGCTCTGCCGGACTAACTTTAGAGGTTGATATCGGATTAAAAGGACCCGGATTGCACTAAGTTATAACAAATACTTAACACCAAATTCGCCTCATAGTCACTAAATGTATATGAAAAACGAAGCTTATTGTCACGGCTTAATGTACTTGTAGTTTTAGTAGTTTTAGTTGTTCTTCATTGATATAGAAAAAAAGCTAATTGTCAGTAGAATTGTTCGTCTGTATAAAGAATTCAGGTTCATTAAATTGAAGCCTATTATATTTTAAATTCCACAACATACATTTTCACGAAATGCTAAATATATATACGGCAATTTGAAATAACAAACAATTAGTATCACAATAAATTTTGCCAAATTTTATGCTGGCATCACCAAATGTATCATTGCTCTGACAATTTTGTCACCTCGACTGGCGGACTCTTGACCTTTAAAAAGGTCTTTTTATAGATTAGCCGGGTTACTTTAATCCTGGTTAACTTAAGTAGAAGTTTCGAATTGCGGACATTCTTTGACGAACATTTTTGCAGATAATCTACGTAACTTTGCATTTGGCAAATCAATTTCACAATTGTTTCTAATGGGTATGTTTGAAACACCGTAAATCCTCGAATTAGCTCCCACCCCCCCCCCCCCCCATCTATGAGCCATTTTTTTGACACTTTTGGTTGGGGGTTATTCGAGGGGAGCTTATATCTGAAATATGCCACATAAAAAATAATGTTTTAAATTCCTTTATTTTCATGATAAAAATGAATAATCGAAGTATAAAAGTTTAATCTCGTATATTTTATCAAATTAACTATTGCCATTAGTATGAAATATTTTGGTAATTCAAAAAACGCCAAAGGAAACCTCAGATGGCAAAAATCAGCAAATCGAGGGGGGGCAATTCGATGATTTTCGGTAGCAGTGGAAGCTTATTCGAGAGGGGGCTTATTGACAATTTATAATTCTAGTGTGGGGGCTTCTTCGAAAGGGGGAGCTTTTTCGAAGGGGAAGCGATTCGAAGGTTTACGCTATACGAAAGACGCATGTTGGGCACGATGAAGGGTTATTGTTGGTTCCTGTTCTTTTCAATATGCAAAGTCCTTTCAACAGAATCGAGTAAGTTTGAAGAAAATATATTTTATCAATAAGAAACTGAATTTGCTGTCGTTTTGTTCTGAACTAAGCTTAAGTTGAAGACTATCATTTACAGTGCCAAGCAGTTGTCAATTTGGCAGGTGATTTCGTAAAGAGGCGTATAGACCTCCTTTTTCTTTGTAGCTAGCATTGATATCTGCAGTGAATCTGGCTCGATGTGTCATTTAGAAGATCACCTTAGAGAAAATGGGAGCAAATTCGTGAAGGAGAGAGAAAAATACATCTTGGTGAGGCGAGAAAGTAAGTTAAATATAATCATCGAATTGATGAGCTGTTGGCTTGCTTTTCACTAAAGAAATAAGATTTCCTTCCTACATTTCAATGATTCCTACACCGAGCTGTAAGGCAAAATAAGGAGCGTTTAATGGGCACTGATTCCTTTTCTATTTGTGATAAAATTTCGTGCAACTCATTATTATAAAAAAATGCAACTCAAAAAATTAACTGCTTCCTTCTACCAGAAAAGCTTAATATTTGCTACTGTTTTTGCACAACATAATACTTCATTGTCGATTTCTTTCTGCCTGTTTTATTGCAGAATGCGATGATAACACCATAAAATACAGCTCGTTATTAAAAGGATTGCAAAAGTCAAATCCAGACCTTTACGGTAAGTACCAGGGACTAAGACCAAGTTGGAAAAAAGCTTTTTTGTTCTCAACAAAGCTATTTTGTTTTGCAATTAAGAATGGGTGCTAGAGTGTGCCTTTATCATATCAGAATTCCTTCCGATCAAAAAAGACAATAAAACTCTTTTGAAAGTGAAGACAACTTGTGTATAATTGAAATGTAGATAAATCTTTACATCCAGCTATCAAAACAAAAGACAGAAATAAATTCCAATCCCCTTTATCTAGGTACCAACGACTAGGCCCATTCATGTACGTGTAAAGGGTCCCTGTTTGTTGGAACATTTGCGATCCTATTCTTTCAACTTATCTGTCTTATAACATTATAAAGCAGCTCAGTACTAACATACAGAGCCGTAGCTACGATTATTTTTGGAGATGGGGCCTGTGCCCTCAAAATTTTGAAATTTCTTTGTTTCCAATGAACAATTGCTTGGTTCCTATTGTTTTCAAGCAATAGTGCCCCCAATTACCGTATCCACCCTATGGACCTGATTAATGAAAGCCTACTTTGCCCTAACTGCTTTGCTTTCAAACTGAAGCCATGCACCCCACCCCTTCAAGGGCCGAGATAGGTTTCGAAATGTAGGGTGGGGCGTTGCTAGGCCCTCCCGCCCCATTGCTCTGATCTGACGCTACCTTTGCACACAAAGTAGCTATATGTTTTATATAACTAGAGATGGTATTTGTTCTAATAAAATGCTTGTTGTTCTACTACAGACTCTTTCTACAGGGTTTATTGAAGGGAAGGCGGTCGAAAGGGAAGAAGTCACACCGCAACCGCTCCCAGAATTGACGGAAAGAAAGAAATCAATACGACCAACAGATAAGAAATCAAGTATTTCCAGTTTAAAGCGAAAGGGCCGGGTGAATGTCAAGGTTTTTTAGAGGACAATTAATGGATGAAATAGTCAAATGATGTTTGATGTATATAGAAGGGACTGCGAAAGCAACCCTCTTCCACCCGATATTTTCCATCGCTGTAATTTTTTCTTTGCAACAACGAGCATAGTATCAGAGAATATAAAGGCAAGTAGCTACGTGAAGTTACCGGCTGGTAGACTAAGTATATAGGCATAGTACTGTAAATAGGTTGGTAGTATCGAACGACAATTGTTATAATTCAAACAAGACCCGAAAGATATCATCTCTTTTTGATCTACAAAATACTGCTTTACACTGATCAACAAATCAAGGTCTCACGTACATTAACAACAAAAAATTTCGTCAGATAAATTTTCGGCGGATAAAATTAGTCGAAAAAAATTTCGGACAACTTTTCAGAATTTTGTCGTGACAAAATTTCGTCGTAGATTTTTACCATGGAGATAGCAAGATATTGCCAAAATCTTTAGAGGCAAAATCATACAGGTTTGTTTATATTCAATCCCATCCAGTAGGTAACGGTTTCGTGGGGACTTGGGGGCTTGAGCACCCGTTCGGAATTTGGCTCAATACCCCAAGCAGCTTTTTCACACAGAACAGCAAGTCAGGAGCACCAAATTAAAGCGGTATATTTCCTCAATTTATGCGAAGATGGGGTAAAAAAAATTTTGATTTTAGCAATCAAAGAGCATAATTAAAAGCATTAGTGTGAATATAAATGTAAGAATCGGAAAACATAAGATCATCTCTAACAGGAAAAGTTGGTCTCGAATTTACGCATTCTGTAGAGTTTAAAATTTGGGCTGAAAAGTGCAAATACCTTGAACGAATGAAAGAAATAGTACCAGTTGAGTATGAAAGGTCAGAGGTGGAATCTTTTGAAACTGGCGAGAAAACACAACTAGAACAGTAACGTTGTCAGGGTGATAAGATTGGGGGGAGGGGGTTGGGCAAAGGCGAGTTGAGCAGGGAACATTGGGGTCCTTCTCGCTCTTTCTCAAGCAAAGCAAAGATGTTTTTGGCCATTTGGGGTGGCGTCCGCCCCCTTGCTACGCCACTGAGTTAGGGCTATTTTTATAGATCAAACGGATACATGAATTTGATTTTTGACCTCAAGTAATAGTTTTTGTTTGCGAATTCTCAAAAACTTTAAATGCAAAAAATTTCCTCGTGACAAAATTTCGTCTCCTCTTGAATTTAGTCGAAGAAAATTTCGTCAAAATATTTGTCCAAAATTTTACCATGACGATATTTTTTTTAGTTAATGTATAGAGCAACAACGACAAGTGCAGGACAAAAGAAAATAAGTTTTGAACACAAATTTGATTAATGGACTTAGTGGATATTTAAAGACTCATTGCTAACAATGAGCCATTGCGCTACGCAAGCATCCCATAATGCATTTTCAGACAATCTCAAGAAGTTTACTGCCATTGTTTGGATCGTTGCCATGCTCGCGAAGGCCTATTGTTAGCAATGCGTCTTTAAAGCATCCTAAACAACTAACAAATGGAAAGAAATAACATCTTAAAATAAACAACAACCATTGAAACAAAGAAATTCCAGAAAAGTGTTTTCAAGCCCTTATCCTTAGGCCATGTAGTCGCCCCCGAATCAGCTTTCATCGGACAAATAACAAACGTCTATCTAACATCTTCATACTCTTAGGATATTAAAATTGCAAAAGAATACAAAAATACCACTGAAATACATATATCTTGCCTAAGTAATATCATCTCAAATGGGCCACTCAAAAGTTGAATTAAAAAGATAATTTCACTTTTTAATAAACTAAACCTGGAAATATTTACTCTTTCTGCTTTAAATTCCTGCTAGTTCAATCTTTTTAAGTTGATAACAAAATTATTATACCTGTTATTAAGACTATTTTTAACTGGCCTATCAAGTCACAGAGTGATTGATTATGTATAGTTATAGATAGTGATGTCATACTCAAACATGAAGAGCAGGATAAGTCAAAAATTTCCACTCTGAGTTTCAAGGTCAATGAGTTCATCTGGCAACAAGACCAATTTGAAATCACTTTTGCTTGCTACATCATCTGGATAACCTTTTTTATGTTAAATATAGAAGATATGTTCTTATTTTTAGGCCATTCTTAGCTACTCTTGTTCTTAGGCAAAAAGATTCTGTAATTAACAAATGTTTTTAGGTCTTTTTCATGGAATGTCTTACATGGAACTTTATACTGACATTCAATATACTTTTGATTCATGAACCAAATCATTGTAAATTGCAAAACATTAATTCAAAAACTCAATAAACTTGTTTGTTCCTATAATTTTGCCACATTCTAAATCACAACCCTTCTAAAACATTCTGAAACTTTGATTAATAAGCAGAACTTTTAGTAAAGCAATAGCAACATAATCAAAGGGATATGAAGCTTGAAAAGGCTTCTTTGTTTGCTAATATGTTTGTTGCTGTCTTTAGATGTGCATTAGTCCAATTAATTGATGATAATGATGAAAAATAGTTTCTTTATTCCCTACTAAATTCATCCCTAAAACAGGACATCTAATTGGTAAGTTCTAATACAGTTTTAGTTTTCCAGTAACTTTGTCAATCAGTTCGCAGGGAGCTGAAAATAAAGAAGTTTGTCTTATTACATATAGTAAACAATATTAAGTAAAATTATACACTTTGACAAGACAGAAATATATATGCAGGTAGTTCACAAAGGAAGCATATTTCATGAAGTGAAAAGTAAAACATTAATAAAATTGCAAGAGAATGTGGACAATGTCACAATCAAATGGAAAATAGTGAACATGCTAGGGGTTAGCAGGCCTGGCCATAAGACTTACAAGAGGAGCAGTAAACAGCTCCTCTAGTGATTTTCAGGTGAGGTATTTGTAGATGAATTTGAATAGAAATACAGGAGAAATTAATTTCAATGCAAGCAATTTGATTTTTACAGCAATTTAGGAGAGCAATCTGTGGCTCCTCTCCAGTATTTGAGGAGAGCTTGGAGGGGAGCAACAGCTCTGGCTCTCTTCAAAACATCCAGGCCTGGGTTAGGTGGAAGTATTAGTGGGTTTTTATGTTATAACAAATTTAGGCAGATACATAAATTCTGATTGGTTGCATTATACAATAATGAGCGATTGTTACATGTTCCAATCAACAGTGCAAGCATATTTCCAAGGGATTGTCTCAATTCTAAATGTGCTGAAAGATTTTTTCTATTGTGAACACCTGACCAACAAAAGGTGGATTTGAAATGCCACAAGAAAGATAATGAGTAAGTTAAACATTATTGGGTAGAAGGAAAAGGATAACCAGAGTTTTCTAAGAATTTTAAGCTTCTCAAGTGAAATGAATAAATCAGTATTAATGAAAGTAAGAAGAATAATGTAACATTTAAAAAACTTTAAGAGCATCATACCTGGTCCTAATCCTAAGACAGTTTTTGAGCCTGGTGCAATCTGAGTTCTTCCTGCATCCCTTATCAAAACAAAATCTAACTCCAAGTTATGAGCTTTTTCAGCTAGTTCCAAACTAGAAAAAATCAAATAAATAATTACTTTATGTCATCATTAAAATACATTCAATAAATTTGGCTATTTTTTCAGAGATCTAACTTCTTTTTAGTTGCTTCATCTTCGACAAAAAAGTGTTTTTTTCTTTCATTTTTTAGATTCAAGTTTGTTTTCATCCATTTACAAGACACATTCTTGTATATGAACCACATGTATTTCAGTGAAAAAAAAACAAAATTAACTCAGGAATACTAAAGAAACTCTGTGGAGAAAAAATTGCTCAAACCAAACTTGGTGGGCATCCCATTTAAAATCATCAAATAGAAATGGCATGTTTTAAAACCTATGAAATTGTTTTTATCTTCTTTATTTTTATCAAGAAGGTTCTTTAGGCATTTGCCTCCAACTTTGGACAGTTGTCTCTAATCATCTTTCATTTTAACCATCTTTAAATGTTTGCTTTATAAGCTTTGAATTTTCTCCTGGCTTCTAGATTTCCATGTTTCAAAGCCTATTCTATGTCTTTCAGTTAAAGCATGTAATGCTGTGTTAGGCTTACAAAGGTGTTTAAATATTCTATCTGTAGCAAAACAAATTTACTGTTCGGTTAATGAAACTGATTTCGAAAAAATTGGGATTTTGTTCAAGTTTGGGTTTCTTTTTTGTTTTTTACATTCACAATGTTAGACTCCTAACCCCCTCTCCCTTCTTACTTTGGTGGTAGCTAAGGTTCATGTCAGGCATTTATCAGTCCAGTTGGAAAAGTCTTTATAGCTTTATCAAATTTTCTGTGAAAGTGTGGCTATTCAAATTAAGAGACTGGGTGCTTTAAGAAGCATTTTATTTTGTCTTTAAATGAACAATTTTTTTCCAAAGGCAATGATGAGAAGTAAATGTTATCATGTTTGAGGTGCACCTCAACAAAGTCCTTCAACAGTTCAAAAAAGGTGCATCTATGGCAAAATATGATAAGTTGTTACTAACTTCAGGCTATCAATCTTTATTTAAAAATTATATACAATGAGGAGTGTTATATTAAAAGTTTCAGCATTTCTTTTTTTCAAACCAATTATCACATTAAGGTTTCTTAAAATTGGGACACATTTTGGATTTGCAAATCGAAAAGTTTCATAACCAGGTAAAGATTCAGTTCGGATCCTGCATTGCCTTTAGGCTGCACTTCACTTTCAGAATGAATAGTAGAAATACTAAGGGGTAAATGATAATGGCTAGATCGCAAGAAGAAGTATAACTACACTTGATTCTCATAGTAAAATCCATATTGACCCACATTGTTTCTTCATTTGGGGCTTTGAGTACAATCTTCGGCCATGATGCGAACTCCCAGTCTTTGACCCACTTAAAAAAGGAAACGAATACACATGATTTTCAGTCTTAGCAAATCAGCCATTTTGATAAGTGATTTGTCTTTTCATAGTCTTCAGAATTAAAAATGAATAAACTGCTTGATAGAGGTTATACTAATGGTCCTAACTTGAAATAACTGTCAAGTTTCAGTTTTGAAAATGAGTAAGTTTGTTTGAAATGGTTCGGAAACTATTTGAGCTGCTATGTGATCTCTTACCTGGGTACCAGAGCCCAAGAAATTAAGAAGAGAATGGAGATTCCTTACCATTTTCTTAGGTTTTGGTACCCAGGGTATGTGATCTCAGGCCATTGGCAGATCTGGAAATAATCCTTATATGATATGGGGGCATGACCTCATGCTCAAAAAAAATTTTTCACCTCACCCTCTAGTTCTTCAGTAATGCCTACTATGGGTAACAACTGTTACACCCTGATACAAACACTTTTTGCAAGTTGCTGTAAACATTCATCAATTTTGGATGCTTCCAAATCTTCTTCCACACTATTAAAGGCAGATCACTGTCCTTTGTACATTTGGGAAAAAATTATTGGGTTTCATAGTTGCAAAGTGCTAGCCTGTGAATCATGTAGGCAAGAAATAATTGCTAGATCTCTAGATCTCTGATAAATATGGCACCACTTAATCTGTGGCAATTTTCTGTTATCTAGTCATTTTCTCTTCTGCAAATAGGCCTTATTAGGACAGAGGATTTTTGCTAGGATTCGAAAGATAGCTAAATAAAATTGAATATACCAAAACTTTATTGTAATCACAAGAATTCTAGTTTAATGCATGTGAGTGTGAGAACAGGCCATAATGCCAGTATCTCATTGCAAAATGCATGAGACTTGGAAGATCTTACTTGAAAACCAGGCTTGTAATGTTTAGGTTCAAATTATTCTCCATCCGTAGTTCTGACAAATTAGATGAAAGTCAACAATGCAATTTTAGCCATCATTATTATTGGTCCTTCCTGGTTTAGCTTATGTTTTGTGCAGCAATGAGATACAATAAGATTAGAGAGGAAAGTCTATTTGCACAGAGAAGGGTGATAAAGCAATAAAAACATACAAGCTTAAAATTGAAAGATATTTATCTAAGATTTAAATGAAGTATGAATTACCTCAGGGTGTCTTCGTTTTGCCTTATTGTATACAGCTAAAGCGGCATGACAGCACTATGAAAAAATATTGATCTGCAATGAACTTTCGTACAGAAATGGCAGGATTTACAAGTCAGTCAATACCATGCATTTGCAAGCATAAAAAAATCATCCAATGCCACAGCAGTTTAAGACTCAAATATCAAATATATCAACTTATATAAATAAACAGCATAAACATGTCCTTTAGCTCATCAAACCAGGGTGCATTCCATGTCAACTATATGCCACAGGTCCACCGGGGCATTTGTTGAGGTACGCAAAAAATATAAGAGCAGTTAGTAAAACAATAAACATTGTTGCACAAGACAAAGAAAACTGATTATTAAAGAAAACTGTGGTGTATGAGTCTTTATTTTACATTAATTATGTAGTACATGGCATCATGTTTAGCATGCCAACTAACGAAAATTTCAAGTACACCAAAAACTTTTTATTGGTTTGCATGCAGAATGCCAAAAAAAACCTGGGAGTACGCCGAAGATCTTCAGGCCTAAGTATATGGAATGTACCCTGGTCACCATATGATTGTGAATTTTTTTTCAATGAAAGCCTAATAAAACAAATAATCACTGACGGGGCAAAGTTACTAAAAAATGCAAAATCTCCCTATTCAAAGAGTTGATTGAGGGTAAATTTCAAAGGATAATCATAAATAGTTATTCCTAATAGGAAGCTGCATGAAAAATTGTTCACAAACTTGTAGATCCAGATATCTGAAAATCATGAAATAAACTTTTCAAGTCACAACAACCCCCATACAACCCCCCATAAAACCCCTCTCCCAACTGTACTGTCGAAATTCTTCTTAAGCATTGAACATTGATGATGAAAAGAAAAAAATGTTTCACAGGCCAGAAATGCTTGGCAAAAGTAAGACAGATCTCTTCAGTAACAAATTACAAACTGTCTTATCAAGTTGAGAAATTGAAATATCAATTACAACATCCAGTCCTTCACCTGAGCAGCAGCTTTGCCCTTGCCCATACCAAGATCTTGTCTTACAACCATCACCATCTTGGAATCTCCCCAATCACTAAATTCTAAATCCTAAAAACAGAAATATCAAAATATTACCATAAACTGCTTGACTGAAATTTTATTAATTTGTTATTGACTAACTTAAATTAACTGGTTAATATTTTTATAAATTAACAATAATTTAGGTGAAATGATTCAACCCCCTTGAATTGCGGGTTTTGATGAGACAATATTTGCTACGACATAGAATGATAATATAGCCTTGCAATAACTAGTATCAGCACAAGAAATAGTCATTTAATAATTTCAGAAAATTGCTAAATTGTATTCTAGAGGATAGCTTCTCTTGTTAATATAAAAATGAACAATTATTAAGAAAAATCGATCTGTGAAGTCCCCACCTCGTCGTCGTCATCCTCCGATTCATTATCAGAGCCAGGGGACTTCTTTGAGTCAGGTTTTTGTTTTGCTTGTAAAATAGGACCTAATAATTTCATAAGAATATTATTTGATTCAATCGTCGTCTGGAAACGAACAATCCAATGAGAATTCCAACACTAATTCCAGCCACCAAGGTAGACAGAAATTCCGCCATTTTGAAGCTTGGCACACTAATAAGGTGGTAACACTTAAAAAAGGTGCATCTCTGGCAAAGATGAAGGGTAGTTCCCCGGAATCAATTTTTCAACGTTTAACCCCTTAAAGAAATTTCTCTTTCAAAACGGGAATTTGTTGTCATCAGAGGGGTACCTTCTCAGAAATGTTCAAAGTTTTCGTCAAATAGAGGATGGACCACTCATTTTTCGACAAATGGGACCTGAAACCCCCTTTGAATCAGCCACGTAACTGTAGAGGGCACAGGGGGGCTGTGAACCCCAAACGAAATGCTTCGCGACTACTTGCCCCCTCTGGCTACAGTCATTCCAAGTGATACTTTTAAAATTGGCATAACGTAAATCCTCGAATTTGCCCCCCCCCCCCTCGAGAAAGCCCCCTTCCTCTAATAAGCCCCTACTTCTACCGTCAATTCTCAAATTGGACCCCTCAATTTGATGATTTTTTCCATCTGAGGTTGCCCATGGCGTTTTATTGAATCACCACAACAAATTCATACTTTTGGTAGTAATTGATTAAATGCCCATAAAGAAATTTCTACTCAAATAAACGAGGTCTTTTAATGATGTCTTCTTAATGTCTACATTAATTTTATAAGCCCCTTTGTATAAGCCCCCCCTCGAATAAGTCCCAATCCAAAAATATCAAAAATAAATATGCCCCCAGGGGGGGCTAATTCGAGGATTGACGGTAATTATAATTTCGTAAGATTATTGTTTATAAAGGCTGGGAACCTTCGTATTGACCGGCATGTAGAGTGACGTGCTGCATGAAAAGAACTGTCCTAGGAGCATGTATGTACTGCTAGGGCTGAGCCCCCGTACTAATCCCAATAAGTAGCAAATTCTGCTTTTGTGATTGTTTTTACAACGTTTTGCAGAAGAGCCCCATTTTTTATTTTTGATAGCCCTTCAATCCTGGCTAGGAGGCGTGTAAAGACAAACTCAGCAATCTGGAAATCATGTGCAAAGTTTTATGTAGTAGCTGCTCCAGTTTTAAATATGGTGTACAGAATCGCACTGGCTTTTAGTTATGCTAGACAGCAAGGGTATGTTATGACTTTTCTCGTCCATCATGCCCATTACGTACATTGATGCCCCATGATGGCTACGTAACACCCCATTTTGTCAAGGCGCTTCGAACATGCTTCGAATCACCATTACTAACTCGTGAAAAAAACTAACTCGTGAGCGTTAGATATCTTTCGAGCAATTTTGAGCGTTTGCGGAAATCTTGCAGTTTGTTTTAAGATTTTGTAGTTAATATGATCTATTCTATTCTTGACTCAAAGCTGCTTTGTAAGCTTTGGGTCATTTGCTGTTATGTATCTGTTTTATTGTTTACAAGCCTGCCACACGGGGTATGATTCCGGGTATGATTCTCGTTCGAGTTTGCCCACCTCAGCCGAAATCCACACTTACGTGGTTGCGTTGAGCGGAAAGGCCTAGCATGTATGCGAGTGCCCCCGGGAATCTGTCCTCTATTGTTGACGATTTTTTTCATGACCATTGAAAATACGCATGAATGATCTCCATTCTAAAAGAACCAATCAGGTTGCCCGGCTTAAACGGTATTGAATCTTGCAAGTTGTGTTATGGCTGCCGCAAATGGGACTGTGAAACGTCGCCGTGGAAGGCCGAGCGGCAGAACTGCTCGTTTCCGAAAGGTGGCACTTCGCGACACAACTTTTGAGATATGGCGTGAATTAAAGACAGAGCTTGGCTTCTACACAGATGACAACTTGGCATGTGCTTTGATGCATTCATACAGGGAACAGGCGCTCAGGTGTGTATGGGCCTAACATAGCACTCATTAACAGTTTCCCATTTTGAAATTCTACCACCGTAAGTCCACACAATTGTTCAAAATTTAAAAAAGTATAAGGGAATTCTTAAGGGGGCTCCTCTCAAGAGATAAACTCATTGAGGAGAGAGAGCCCCTGTTTTAGATACAGAACCAAATTTCCAAATGAAATTTGGTGGTCAGCTAAATTCCTATTGTCTGAATAATACAATATGCTATTATCATTTTTCCAATCGGCGATTCAACAATTACAAATGCACTACAGAGCCTGTTGTTAACGTGAACGGTTGACTTAGGGAACACACTGCCAATAATCTCCCTAACGCGATAAAGAAATCCCATAGAGATATCTATATGAGGAATCTTCATGACCTTATCAATAATATTAAACGATGATCAAATGAAATCTGATCGAAGTTTGTTACACGAGGGATGTTGTGAAGTTTGATTCACTAAAGGGTTTTTGGTTTAGCTGAATTCACTTGGGTGTTAAGCAAGGACGTCGGGGGAGGGGGGTGACAGCCCCCTGATGGTAACTTGATAGGAAATTTGAGGTAAAATCCTGTCAACCAGTGAGGGAAGGGCTTAGAATCAAACAGGGAAATGTGTAACAGATCTAGACCGTATTGGATAAATCTTTTGAGCTGGGGAAAGGTCGAAATTGTTAAAATCAAATTATAGTTTTAGATTGAAATCAAGGCCTTCAACTTTAGAGGTAAAAACATGGAAGATTAGCCCTTTAAACTATTCTCATGAAAACTGTATTTGTATTTTTGGAACCTCTTTTGGCCCGAAGTTATTTCAAATAAAAATTATTAATAAAGCAACTTAAAAATAAAGGTGTAAAAACTTTTAAATGAAACACAAAAGTGAATTAGTATAAATGATGGGGCAAGTCGAAGCCAGGCTTTTGCCACATATTAACAGTTTTGTGGCGACTCATGTTTCTGACAAAACAGACTTTCTAATTTCATACTTTTGGTTCTTTAGAGGATTCACGTTGAAAGGTAATAAACAACGAGATGGTTTTCCAACGGAAACATCGTCGCATGTTCGTATACTGCCGAGAGCGGAGGAAGAGCAACGAACAAGGCAACATGAAACAGGAACGAACAGTAATATGGCTTCAGTAATACAAGCAAGGCAAGACAGATTTTCTATTAAACCTATTTTTAGAATGCAGAAAGTCGCCAACCTTTCTCCGGTCAAGAAAATCTTCCAGTTAAACCTTCCCAATTTTTAATAGGCATTGTCAGAAAATTTGGGTTGTCTTGATCCCTTCTCCTTGCAAATCTATTTTTACAAAACATTTAAAAAAAATTGAAGCTTGTTTCAATTATAAATATTTTTGAGCCAGATGTAAAGTTATATGAATATGTCAAATAATAGCAAAAGCGTTTCATGCCAGTGGCGGTGGGGCCATGATACTTTCCCGACTCTTCCAAAACTTTCGTTATAAAGTATGACCATTTTGTGCGATAAAAAATTGTCCAGTATTTATAAACTTTTTAACGGTACACGGGAACCGCAAAAGTGATTTATTATAAATGATGGAGCTACGGTATAATCAGGCATTTATCAGGAGATAAAAAGTTTTTGTGGCGATTCAAATTTCTGATAAAATAAACTTTCTAACTTCTTACTATCGATTCTTCAGAGGATTCACATTAAAAGCCAATAAACAACAAGATGGTCTTCCAACGGAAATGTCGACGCGTTATCGCTTGTTGTTGCCGAGAGAGGATGGAAAGCAACAGACAAGGCAAACCCAAACATGCCCAACCAGAAATATTGCACCAGCAAAACAAGCAAGGCAAGACAAACTTTCTACACAATCTATTTTTTAATTCAATTGGCCTCCATGACTATTTTGCAATACCAAAAAATTGTTCAGATTTTACTTTTGCGAAGTAAAAGGGAAATTCAAAATAGACAGGGTATTTATTTTTAGCCCATTAACTTTTGCTCTGATGAAGCCCCGTATGCCGGGGCGAAATATTAGTCTTTACTGATTTACGTGTATTTATTGTTGTTTATTCTCGGCGTATTGCGGTGTTTTATATTTGCTACATTTTTATCGACTTTTCGCCGCAAGAACTCCTTGGAGCCCGTCGAGCAGCCTGCTACAGTGGCCTTTTCTTTTTTCACATATTTATAGCTCTCTGGCAACCAACCTAAATGAAATTTTCAAAGTTTTAATCATGAAAATAAATGCCACTGATCATTGTAAGCCTTGGAAATGTTCGGCAAATGATAGGAAGTCACGTTTCCGGAAGAATGAAAAATGCACTGTCAGCAAAAGGTTGACATTCTAGTTTTTCACATCTGATGATACCATCAGAAAGAGCTGGCAAAACTGAGCAAAAGAAAGCAAAACATCAATATAATCTGACCTATAAGGAAAAAGTTAAGGCTGTTGGAACTTTTTGTTAATTATCCAACAAACCTGTTCCTCTGAAGTTCCATGACAGCAACGATGCCTGCACCAGAGGGCAGTGGGTGTAGTGACCCCCTTTGCCCTCACGAAATTGGATATCTTCTTCGTTTGGCGATTGTTTTCCCTTTTTGGCCCTTCTCCTCTGTTGCCCTCCATAAGTGCAGGCTTCCTGCATGAAAATACAGATGCATAGCAGGGGAATTGCGCATGTTGTGGTAATAGCACGAAGTTTGGTTAAGTACAAAGTCCGATATGCTGAAGAAGATTAAATCCATTGCAAGCTTCTAAAATTCCCAAAAAGCTACTTTTGACTTGGGTACTGGTACCCAGTCCTCTTTTAGGTATAGCACTAAAACCGTTTAACTATGCAAGCTGTACAACTGCAACTTTGTTTTCGGGCAAATTTTGACGTGCTTGGGGAATTCTAGAAGCTTGAAATGGATTTCATCTTTTCAGTACATTGAGTTGTATACTTGTACCAAAATTCGTGCTATCATCATAACATGAACAATTCCATTGCTTTGCGTCTCTACTGTCAGTTTAGCAAGACTAAAAATTTCAACAGCGGTAATATTTTGCTTATAGGTCAGATCGTATTGATTCTGATGGTTCATTCTGATGATATCATCAGATTTGAAAAGTTCAAAGGTCAAACTTTTGCTGACCGTGCATTTGTCATGCTTCCGGAAACATCTCCTCCGCTCATTTGCCAGAGTACTGCCAAGGCCTAAAATGTTAAGTGGCCTTTACTCTAATGATTCAACTTCAAAAACATCGGTTAGG